AGTTACTCTAGGTGGTTGGTAAAGCAAAATGCGGTTATTCAAGTATATAGCAACGATAAAAGTTATGTATTATGATAATTTTCACAAAATTAAATTTATAATTCTGCTTCATTGAGAGCATCGTAACCGAGGGTGACTATACCAAGACGGGCCATCCTGGAGTCTATACCTGTGTTGGTAAAATTTTCGACGGGAAATCGTTGTCCTAATAAATAGCTCACGTGAAATTAGTAAGTGGCGCAAGGAAAGGACACTTCATATTTCCAAATCAGTCTTATGGTTATCAGAATAAGTTCATTAACTTTTCAGTCATTCGGTCGACGTTTAGAGCACAATATTGCTTACTCATCTGTTTGCGGACGAAATAACGTGGGTTCACAGCAGTAAATGCCTTTATCTGGAAAAAAGCAGGCTTCTACCTAGAGCCGTCAGGGAAAGGAAATTTAAATTTTTTGATGACATTTTATCACTTATAAAGTCTACGAAAATAGAGTGTAACTTTACCTAACGATTTTAATTCTTGTGTCAAACGCACACTGCCTCATCAGAAGAATCTTTCATCCCCTCCATCACTTGAATGCGTTGAGATTTAAGGGCTTCCCACAGAAATATTTTAACAGGAAAAGTAGTTTGGGTGGACTTTCCAGACACATCCGCACGCACACTACGCTGGAGGTTAACCGCATTATAACAGCAGAGGTTTTGGAAAATATAGCTCTTCTTCAACGGGGCTTCAAGGAAAAATAGTTTCACCTAAAAATAAGCTAGGGAACCGGTTTACTGATACAAATTCAGTAGTATAAGTAGAGGCAGAGGTACCTTAAGCGCCTCTCGGTCGACGTTTCGAGGGCCGCTTTTGGTCTTTCAAATTAAATTCTCGTGGTCATTCGCAACCGCCGAACAGACCTAGCGTCACTAAAGTGGCACGCTATGACAGGGTGTTGCAAGGCAGAGATGACCTTAGCTGATATTGTCAAGACTTGTAAGCTGTTGTGCCGTTCTGACGTGAGGATTAAAATATTCTGGCTAAGGGAACTTATGAGAACGAATATTTTCGTTGTTTTCTACAAAAATATTTGAATTTATAAGGGCAGTAAGTTTTTCAGCTTAATTCGTACTATTTAAGTAGCGATGTTTTAGATAATATACCTTTTGTGAGCTGTCAGAAAGAAGGTCGTTAAAATGTCGATATCATCTCGTGACTGAAATAACTTGAGATTAGGTTCCATAATAATCAGTATTACAGCCCTACTTAATGCCAGTTTGCGAATGATTATTAATCTTTCGCAACTTTCAGCATTGTGCATGAAATACCGTGCGTACCGTATTTCAATCAGCCCAGCATACTCACCAAAATTCTGAGCAAGCTAAGTGCACAACACAGAAGGCTTGATTTCCCGAAGAATGCGCATACGCGAAAGCATGAGCATGAAAAATAGCAAACTGAGGATTAATTAGCATAAACATCTCGTGGTTGAATGCAAACAATTTTACCTGAGTACATGGCACCATACGATTCTTCGTAAATGAAGTGTGTTCATTAAGTAGGTGTGAACAGAAACACCGACCGGATGAGTTGACACGAATGCAATCCTGATCAGTATATGGAGGTCTGTTAGGCCGCAGGGAAACATATATGCCTAAAATGAGCATTAAATACTAAAGCACATTTAAGAAAACTGCCGCACTGGAGGTCTCTGCCGGTTTCATATGACTCAAAGCGGAATAAAGTGCTCATCTGCTTGAAATGCACCAGGTTGTCGTACAATGTCGATACAGTAGTCC